CGTTTATAAGCTAACGTTCTAATTTCCAGAATCATTATTTACAAGTACAGAGGAACAACAAGTGCTGCATCGGAAATGATGTTTGACCAAGAAATGAAATATGTAACTCTCCAAGGCCAGTTTCAATCTGCATGAAACAACTATAGCATATAATGCCTGTATCAGTTTTCTCTATTTGTTTGTGTAAATATTTTGGAATTTGTTACCTTTTAAAAAAAATGTTTATCTGTATGCCGCCAGACCTTTATGTATCTTACATCGACCAGTGGTTATATCTTGAGGATATTCTGACACTTGTGCAAAAACTGATCTATAATGCCTCTCTTGTATAGTTAAAGAATTTTTGTGATGTGCAAACTTACTTGCATTTATTTGGAAAAATAGGATCTTGCAGCATCCATTCAAAAAGGGAGTCTGGATTGGGAGCGAGCTTTGCGTATTCTAAAGCATGCTCTTCGTAACAGTCCATCACCAGACTGGTGGAGGCGTGTGCTTCTCGTGGCTCCCTGTCACAGGCTTCATGCCCAGGCTCCAACTCCGGGTGCCGTTTTTACATCAGAAATGGTTTGCGAAGCAGCGATTGAAAGAATTGTTGAATTATTGAAGGTTACTAATTCAGACATCATTTCAAACTTCAAACTCTGCCTGAGATTGTGTTAGAAATTGCCAATTTGTACATTACTGTTTTTCCCCTTCTCTTTCTTATGATGTTATTATCAGTATTACTAGTTGGCTAGAGTATCTCCAACAGGATGCTTACCTTCTATATCCTGATTAAAAGAGTTGTAATATTTATTGTCTTGTGCAAGTAAATTATGTTTCTGATAGAGAACAAAAAGTACTGCTTTCGACAGTTGATTCAGAAAGGTCTAAATCTAAGGGCATGGCATAAAGCAAAGTGCTTGAAAGAAAAGTACAAGAAGACCTGAAAGTGTTTTTCAAAATTGTTGCGCTATATGGGTTTATCTTGTCTAACTTTGACAATAAAATGTGCTGCTTGGTGTTTGCTGTGAGTGAGAAGTGAGAACTGTTCTCTTGGATGTGTGCCTCTAAGGAAAGGTCCTCTTGCATATTTGGTCACATAATATGTCCGCTCTTAGATAATGTGTGTTTAATTAGTATACTGTTAACTTTAATGATTTACTCTGCTTCCTAGTAAGTTGCTTTCCCCCTTTGTAATGGACATAGTTTGATAGCTTTTATTTGTTCTTCTTACTTCTGCAGAAATCAATTGCTGGCAGGAGTGGCTTATCTTCTCAGATATATTCTTTTTTCTCGTGAAAAGTGGATGCATTGATTTTGTGGAGTTTGTGGACAAGTTAGTATTGCGACTTCAAGAGGGTGATCAACAAATACTTAGGACGAACCATGTTACGTGGTTACTTGCACAAATTATTCGGGTTGAACTAGTGATGAATGCTTTAAATACAGACTCAAGAAAGGTTTTCCATCTTAACTATATACTGATACTTTTTTTAAGATAAAGAGGATATAAACTGATTGTACTTTAATACAATCGTTTTGTAGCGACCTTGATATTTTTGGTGCTAGTTGATTGCTTTTTTTTTTTCATATTTATCTGTCTCTGGTTTTCAAGATTTCCTAGGGAATGATCGCTTAGTGGAGATGGCCCTCCACCATGGGGTGGTGGGTACCAAGGGAGCAAGTTGGAAAAGCCGATGTTGGCTCCTTGGGAAGTTTTGNGAGTGACAACTCTTTTCGTGTCTAAAAGCATTAGCATCTCAATCTTCTTGTACCTTTTTATTTTTGATTTTCTTTTTCCGCTATTAATTAAGATATAATTTTTAGTAATTAAAGTAAGTTTTTGATTTTTGAGCCGATTGTAGTATCTTTTTGGTGACTCTCACAATTTGTTGTTAGGTGGAGACAACCAGTAAAATTCTTTCGTTCTATAAAGAGGAGAAAAGCTCTGATCCCAATAATCATCAAAGTATCCTACTTGATTTCTTTAGCAGTTGTCAGAACTTGTGCATTTGGACACTAAATACAGCAACAAGAGAATATTTGAATAATGAGCAGCTACAAAAGGGAAAGCAAATTGATGAATGGCGGAGACAGGTAAATAAAGGTAATCCTTTCATCTGACTGTACTAGTTTAATACATGTTCATTCATTTCACAATAGATTTTAGATTCAACAAATTAATGTCATTATTTCTTCTCTTAAATTTCATGTTTTGTCTTCTAATCTACTAACTTTGACAATAAAATGTGGTGCTTGGTGTTTGCTATGAGTGAGAAGTGAGAACTGTTCTCTTGGATGTGTGCCTCTAAGGAAAGGTCCTCTTGCATATTTGGTCACATAATATGTCCGCTCTTAGATAATGTGTGTTTAATTAGTATACTGTTAACTTTAATGATTTACTCTGCTTCCTAGTAAGTTGCTTTCCCCATTTGTAATGGACTTAGTTTGATAGCTTTTATTTGTTCTTCTTACTTCTGCAGCAATCAATTGCTGGCAGGAGTGACTTATCTTCTCAGATATATTCTTTTTTCTCGTGAAAAGTGGATGCGTTGATTTTGTGGAGTTTTTGGACAAGTTAGTATTGCGACTTCAAGAGGGTGATCAACAAATACTTAGGACGAACCATGTTACGTGGTTACTTGCACAAATTATTCGGGTTGAACTAGTGATGAATGCTTTAAATACAGACTCAAGAAAGGTTTTTCATCTTAACTATATACTAATACTTTTTTTAAGATAAACAGGATATAAATTGATTATACTTTATTACAATCGTTTTGTAGCGACCTTGATATTTTTGGTGCTAGTTGATTGCTTTTTTTTTCATATTTATCTGTCTCTGGTTTTCAAGATTTCCTAGGGAATGATCGCGTAGTGGAGATGGCCCTCCACCATGGGGTGGTGGTACCAAGGGAGCAAGTTGGAAAAGCCGATGTTGGCTCCTTGGGAAGTTTTGTGGGGGGGGGGGGGGGGGTTTGGGGGTTGAGGTGTACCATAATTTAAAAAGAAAATTCCTCCTTCGGATGCAGAACCAGAAATCCATGAGTGACAACTCTTTTCGTGTCTAAAAGCATTAGCATCTCAATCTTCTTGTATCTTTTTATTTTTGATTTTCTTTTCCCGCTATTAATTAAGATATAATTTTTAGTAATTACAGTAAGTTTTTGATTTTTGAGCCGATTGTAGTATCTTTTTGATGACTCTCACAATTTGCTGTTAGGTGGAGACAACCAGAAAAATTCTTTCATTCCATAAAGAGGAGAAAAGCTCTGATCCCAGTAATCATCAAAGTATCCTACTTGATTTCTTTAGCAGTTGTCAAAACTTGTGCATTTGGACACTAAATATTGCAACAAGAGAATATTTGAATAATGAGCAGCTACAAAAGGGAAAGCAAATTGATGAATGGCGGAGACAGGTAAATAAAGATAATCCTTTCATCTGACTGTACTAGTTTAATATATGTTCATTCATTTCACAATAGATTTTAGATTCAACAAATTAATGTCATTATTTCTTCTCTTAAATTTCATGTTTTGTCTTCTAATCTTACCAATTCTACCAAAACAATGAAAATGGACTGTGCACATGTAACTATCCAAAAAAATAATGCCACTTCTCTTGTATCCAAGGTATCGTTTTGACCAGTTAAGGTGTTAGACTTTTGGAGTTAGTGTGGCTGGAATCATTTTGCTAAAGGGGTTATGAGCATGTTTGGATTGGCTTAAAAAAAGTGGCTTTTAAGCATAAATAACTTTAGAGCCCATTTGGATGGGCTTGTTTTAAGTTACTTTTAAGCCTAAATAGCTTTTAAGTCATAAGCTAGGAATTCTAACTTTTTGCTTTTGGCTTGTTTTTGTCATTTTAGCTTAAAAACAAGTGCTTAAAAACACTTTTTTACTTTATCCAAACACTACAAAATGGCTTAAAAGCGATTTTGGCTTAAAAGCACTTAAAACAAGCCAATCCAAACGGGCTCTTAAACCAAAAGCAGTTCTTTAATAATTTCCCTAATATCCCCTTCAACCTTGAATTCTTGGAAGAATCAAACTCTTGATCAACCATCTTTTCCGGCAACGATTTAGCCAGCTCACATTCCATGAGACAATATTCACCTTCATTGATCATGAATAATAATACTTCCCCTTCATCTTTAGAAAGTTTTCTTTTTGGAGTTGTTGTCATCTGCATGTCTGAAGGTTCTTTGTTTGCTTGCCTCTTCTGATCCGTCTTTATGAATAACTCTAAGGCTTGTTTCTCGCATCCTCGAAAATGCACTCCAAATTCTTTACTACGCCTGAAATATTCTGATGAACTACAGTGACGCTTCAAACTTTGGATCCCTTTTCTCGTATTGGGAAAAATTGAATTTATATATATTGAAGTGATTGAAAGATGACGTGTCATGACACGAAGGCTGGTTAAAGAATGATGATTAGCAAAGAGGTACGAGTCGCAACAGATACGAGCAGAGGCACGAGCAGATATTCAAAAGACTCGACGCTCGTACCTATTTAAATCCAAAACTTAAGGAGAATGAATTTAACAACACAAGAGAGTACAGATACAGTATTTAATAAGCATTAAATACTGAAAACGTTAGAGAATCTGTATTGAATTACAATGATTACCATTGTAACGTAGCATTAAATGTCTTTAATTGTTATTATGACAAAGGCAAAACATATATCTTAGAAATAACTATAAAAAGGAGAAGACTGATCATTTGTAAACACACGAAATATCATCGAAATATACTGATTTACTTTGTTTTCTTCTGTTCATCTTAATGTTAGCAAAATCAATTTCCTTTATTCATTATTTGATTATTAGTAACCCGAGTTCTTCTAAAATAAAGCTTTGACCAAAATTCCACTTTTTGGTTAAACAAATTGGTTCTGTTACCGGGAATCTGATAATCTATTCTTTCTTAGCCTAACCTTTTTTGTTGCACCAACCATGTCAAACATTAATGACAACACCCAAGGAAACCAGGGAAACCATCAACTCCAGGGGAATCCACAAGATAATCGCACCCCAATCCCTTCTCCACAAAGCTCCCCTCGACAGTCTCGAGAAGGCACTCCTGATGGATCTCATTCAAATGCAAATGCTCAATTTGAAAACGATGAAGCTATCAATGAAGCTTTGCAAAAGCTAATCGCTCAACAGGTCAATAAAGCTCTTGAGGCCTTTGTCAGCCAGTTACTTGTTGCACCACCACCACCAATTCCAAATAACAACACTTTGGAGAACCCTCGTTCTGGGCTTGCTAATTCAGGTAGTGGCGGAATCCCTAGCGAGTCACGAGATGGAGAACCAGGTAACTTAGTCAATTCTGATTTACAAAATTTAGTGTTAACATTACAGAAACAGCTCAAGGAGCAAAGTGACCGCATAGAGCAAATACCTGGAGTACCGCCCGTAATCAAAGGGATAGATATGGATAAATATTCACAACAACCTTGGAAGCCAAGTGCTGCTCCCCTCCCAATTCCAAAGAAATTCAAAATGCTCGATATTCCAAAATACGATGGAACAACTGATCCACGAGACCACGTGACCGCATTCACAACAGGCGTAAAAGGCAACGACTTGACCAAACAAGAAATTGAATCAGTATTGGTCAAAAGAATCGGTGAAACACTCACTAAGGGAGCATTAACATGGTATTCTCCTTTACCCAAAAATTTCATAAATTATTTTGCTGAGCTTGTAGATTCATTTATCAAAGCACATTCGGGAGCTCAAAAAGTCGAAAAAAGAATGGAAGATATTTTCAAAATCAAGCAAGGGGAATCAGAGTTGCTTAGAGAGTTCGTGTATAGGTTCCAGTGTGAAAGAATGACGTTACCGTGTGTACCAAACAATTGGGCAGCTATAGTCTTCACTAGTAATTTGAATGAAAAAAGCTCAGAAGCCACGAGGAGACTCAAGGAAAGTCTTCGTGAATTCCCAGCAACAACGTGGAATGACGTTTACAACAGGTATAACACGAAGCTAAGGATAGAAGAATATATTATCTCATGGTCTCAAAAAGAGAAAAAGGTGAGTTCGAGACGGGCGAAAACCAAAAAAAGATCCGAAAATAGATACGAACCATATATGGGCCCAGTGGGAAAAGATTCAAGATCAACACAGGATAATTCAAGGTACGATCATAGATCGAGGAATAGAGAGTCGGGCTCATCATCAAGATTTGGGAATGATCGAAACAGGCGAGAGTAACGGGATGATGATAGAAACTTGAAGGCAATATTTGGCGGTTATAATTTTAATGTAAGCACTTTCGAGCTCGTAGCTGTTTTAAGAATCATGGGTGATAAGGTGCGGTGGCCAAAAGAAATGAGATCGAATCTAAACAGGCGCAATCCTGATCACTGGTGCGAATTTCACAATGATCATGGTCATAAAACGACAGACTGTAGGTTGCTACAAGGTGAAGTTGATCATCTATTAAAGCAAGGGTATCTCACCAAATTATTCAGTGAGAAAGGTAAGCAAGCATACATAAAGAATAGGCAGGAGCCCCTTAAACCACCTTCTCCCAAAAGAACCGTTAATGTTATAAGCGAAGGTGAAGAAATCAATGGTGTGACGTACACAACAGCCAATAAAGTTTCAAAGGTCACAATTACCAACGGGAAGCGGGTTCGACATGTCTTAGAGGAAAAAAGTATTATGTTTGATGATGCAGATACGGATGGCGTATTAACTCTACATAACGATGCAATGGTAATATCTCTACTTGTACATGATACTAATGTGAGACGAGTTTTGATTGATCCAGGTAGTTCCGTGAACATTATTTTGCTAAGAGTACTACATGAGATGCAAGCTGAAGATAAATTAGTACCAAAGGCGCATACTTTGTCTGGATTCGACAATTCCAGCGTTGTGACGAAAGGAGAGGTAATACTTACTACATTCGCAGAAGGAGTTGTCAAAGATACAAAGTTTCAGGTGGTAGAGATGGAGATGACTTTCAATATGATTCTCGGGAGACCATGGATCCACAAGATGGATATCGTTCCGTCTACCTTACATCAAGTTATTAAATTTCCATCACCATGGGGAATATGTCAAATCCGTGGGGATCAACAAACATCCAGGAGCATCAACTCCGTAGCAGATTCAAGTACGAAAAACGAAGAAAAATAGCAGTTACAGAATCCGGTTGAGGATACCACAACACAAGCCTCAACTGAACAAGGGCGAACAGATGTGGACTCAAGGCCCGATTTCATTCAAGAACCAGAGGAAAATGAAAATATCAAAACAACGATTGAAGAACTGGAGGTTGTAGAGTTATTTACACAATGGCCTGAAAGGAAAGTCTACGTAGGGGTCAATCTAAGCTAAGACATAAAAGGTAAGTTGATTGAATTTTTGAAAACTAACGTGGATTGTTTTGCTTGGTCCCATTCTGATATGACAGGAATACCACCGGAGGTAATGACTCACAAATTAAATGAATACCCATCATATCCACCTGTCAAACAACAGAAGAGAAAGCAAGGAACTTTCAAAAATCAGGTGATTCAAGATGAGGTCCAAAAATTACTGAAAATTGGGTCTATCCGCGAGGGAAAGTATCTTAATTGGTTAGTCAATACTGTTGTGGTACCGAAAAAGAATGGTAAATGGCGAGTTTGTGTAGATTACACAGACCTTAACAAAGCTTGTCCTAAAGATTCTTTTCTATTACCACATATAGATCAACTAATTGATACTACTGCAGGTCATGAGTTGTTAAGCTTTTTAGATGTGTATTCAGGATATAACCAGATCAAAATGGATCCTATAGATGAAGAAAAAACTTCATTTATAATAGACAGGGGGACTTACTATTATAAAGTAATGCATTTTGGTCTAAAAAATGCTGGTGCAACATATCAAAGACTAGTGACCAAAATGTATCAAGAACATTTGGGAAAAACTATGGAGGTCTATATAGACGATATGCTCGTTAAAACTCAACATTCAGAGGATCTTATATCACACTTGTCTGATACGTTTCAGATCTTGCGAAAATTCAATATGAAATTAAATCCTAAGAAATGTGCATTTGGTGTTGCATCAGGTAAGTTTTTGGATTTTTTTGTTTCTAACCATGGTATTGAAGTAAATCCCCCACAGATTAAAGCCATTGAAGAAATTCCTAACATACTTACAAGTAAAAAAGAAGTGTAGAGGTTGATAAGAAGAATTGCAGCCTTGTGGAGATTTATTTCCAAATCATCAGAAAAGTGCTTTAAATTCTTTTCAGCTCTTAAAAAGCATGATCAGTTCGAATAGACTAAGGAATGTCAACAAGCACTCAAAAATTTGAAGACATACCTATCAAATCCGCCATTGCTCGCAAAACCCAAGGTTGGGGAAAGATTACTCATCTATCTTGCTGTCTCCGAAGTAGCGGTAAGTGTTGTGTTAGTTCGTGAAGGCCAAGGTAAACAATCTCCAATTTATTATGTCAGCAAATCATTATTAGATGCGGAGACGCGATATCCTCAATTAGAAAAGCTTGCACTTGCACTAATCATGGCATCTAGAAAACTAAGGCCTTATTTTCAATGTCACCCTATTGCTGTAGTAACTGCTTATCCATTACGTAATATTTTACACAAGCATGAGTTGTTAGGTAGGTTAGCCAAATGACTATAGAATTAAGTGAATATAGCATCACATACCAGCCTAGAAACGCGATAAAATATCAGGTATTAGCAGATTTTGTGGTTGATTTTAGCCAAGGAATGCAATTAGAAGCAGAAAAAGAATTACAGGTGTTCAACGGATCTAATCTAGGAATTTGGACCTTATTTACGGATGGTTCATCTAATGTGAAGGGACAAGGCTAAAAACTGGGACAAGAAGTATTATAATACTAAGCTCATAATATTTTATAATTTTTAATTTTTGGTAAATTGTGCGTTTCACTTCTCGCTTTTCATTTCATGCCCCATGGACATTGTTGCGTTTTTCACTTTTAAAAACACTGGTTAATAACAATACAACTACACCTCAACCCCAAGCTAATTGAGGTCGGCTGCATGATTTATCACTATACATTTCACTCCATTTGTGTAACAGCTAAGGCTGCTTATCAGGAGGATCAACAAATATTTATACTTAATGGTCCGACTTATCGTTTATCAGCTTGTAAATATACTAATTCGCTAGCCATCCGATAAGATATTGGGCAAATCTGTATCGAATTAACGGTTATCGGGTGGTTATCAGGTGGTTTATCGGCTAAATCAATAAGACAATAAAAATTACATAGGTAATCAAGACGGTAAATAAATAGACGATTCAATCACAAACGCACTCCAGTAGGCTAATTGGAGAAATTCTGTGTTCCTTATAGTCATCCCCTTTTCTTTTAAGCTTGAGCAAATTGAAACCATCTTAGAGGAAATTCTCAAAAAAAAAAAAGAATAAAAAGGGCAGCTCGATGCACGAAGCATCTCATATTCTCGTAGGATGGGGGAAGAGCTGCAACCCAAGGAGTGTGACATAGGCAGTCTATCCAGACCCAAGAATCAGCGGCTGATTCTACGACTCGAGGCTAAGCACAGTGCTGGTGTTGGAGATCTGAGTTGATAATATTCTAGCCTAATTATTATGAGGCCATCTATCATCAAACTATGAAATGATGATCTCTTAGTGTGAAATTTGACATTTGAAAACTTGATAACAATGTGTAGATTAACGCCCTATAGTACTCTCTTAGTCTATCCCCTGTTCATACATTGAACTTTCTTGGTGCTCTTTTAGTTATATATGTAAAATTAATGACTTCTTTATGAAAAATTTCTTCTTTTCTGAAAAAAGTTATTGAATTTTAAAAAAAAAGTCATGCTTGAATAATTGAAATTCGACTTCTACAAAGTGAATTTTGCCGCAATACTAGTTTAAAGGCACGCATTCGTACAAGAAATTCTTAGGAGTTCCTTTTCCTTGTTAGTATCAAATCTTCCCTTGTTAATCTTACATGCCTCTTCGGTCTTTATTGCAATTGAATCCAAGCTTTTAATTGGTAATATGCAACTTTGTTCTTAAATTAAGAATCTTATATTCTTACAATGAGTTTTATTCATGGATATGCAATAAACATAAAATTGTTTGGGAGTTATTGCATGCAATGTGAAGTTTTTTTAAAGTATCTACCTCAATTTCTATAACTCTTTTTTATTATGGAACATCCAAAAAATTGGACACCATTTTTTTAAAAATATTATTTATAATTCTGGCTTGTTTCATGTATTCAAATTCAGACTAATTAAACTTGTATTTCGATGAAGATGTTCGTTTTGTTAATTTATGCTAGTCAAACTAAGAAGGGAGTCTAAGCGTAATGGTAAGAGTTGTCGCTATGTGACTAGGAGATGAGTTCAAATGTAGTAATAACCCCTTGCAGAAAAGTAAGGTAAGACTGTTTACGATAGGACCATTTTAATCTGTCCTTTCCAGTACCTTGGGGACAAGGGGAAATTTAGGGCACCTGGCTACATATACCTTATACTATTGAAAATGGTTTAAATATACCATCTGTTTCACTATGTGGTTATTTTTGGACCCTACCGTTATACTATGGTACAAATATACCCTTATTTTGGAGGGACTGCCATATGG